AATCATATAAATGGAAAAAAGAAAAAGTTAGCAATAATTATATTAAAATATTTGCAAAATCCTGAAAAAGAAATCTATATCAAACTATATAAAAATGGTGAAATTATATTAAAACTTTAGTAAAACTAAAGATTTAAATTTTTTTGCTAAATCTAAAATAGGTTTATTAAGCAATCTTAATCAATATTTTTAGTTAATTAATATTATTTAAATATTTTATTTTTTATTTTTATTTTTTTATCTTAAAAATTTTAATATAAAATTATTTTATTAATATTGATAAATTTATAAAATATATTAATTATTTGATATTTAAAATAAATAAATTAATATATTTATTAAATTAAATTAATATTATTTTAATTTCAACTAAATTTATTTAATATAGTAAGTTATATAAAAAAAATATATAATGTAATATTATTTATTAGTTATTTAAAATTTAGTTATCAATTTAATATATTTAATTTTAAGTTAATAAATATATGGGAGGTAAGCCAAGTTTTTTAGATAAATAAAAAATTACTTAGAAATTTATAAAAATTATATTTTTTTTTAACTCCATATAATACTATGGCACATCCGGTTACTTCACGTGATCAATGCATGACGTATTGGATTTTAGTAATTTAGTATCATTACATATATTTAATATCATTTTTGTTACCTAAAATAAGTTAGAATTTCATTTCTGGAAACGTAAATTAAAAAGATGAACTATCGTATGATAAAATGATGGTGTGATTATTGCATATTTGAAAAAAAAAAAAAATTTTTTTGAATTCTTTATTGCTGCGTATGCAACGGATTCTCTGGTTATTTTTAAATGAAAGGGGGAGCGTTTTATGCTGGTAAACATTACATTGCAAACACAATTCAAGTCGGCGGGATTTCCCTTTATATAACATTACGGTTCCGAATTTTACGTCATACAACTTAAGTTTCAATCAAGAGATTTATAATAGAATATGAAGCAATGGTAAATCGTAAACATAATGAACATCGGTTTTCCCTTATAAGGAATCTTCTTTATTCATGCAAATGAAATATTTAATGCATGTTCGGAAGTAATTTGAATGTCACCGGATACATGTTAATGGACTCGTGATCTTATTGGGTGGCAAACCTATTTGATAAAAAGTAAGAGCTTTTTTTTTTTTTACCCTAGGTTTGACTATAAAATTCAAAAAAATATCGTTTATAATTTTTTTTCCCCTTAATCTGATTCCTTTTAAAATATTTCAATTTCAATTTGAGCCAAATTTCCTGATTTATTCGATTGTTTGTTAAATTATTTTGATACTTTTTGAAACACAATTTTCTTTTTTTTTTTTTTTAAAAAAAAAAAAAATTTCGAACCGCAAATCTTTCAACTCAAACTTTATTCAAAAAAAAAAATAAATCATATATTACAGCGCGTAATAATACCTTTTAACACCATAAAACTAAAATTACCACGCAAAAAAAAAAAAAAAATGGCATTATTAGAAACCTACGAAACGATTTCATCTCTTATCCCAACCAAATTTCAAAGTTTTGCAAGTTGCAAACCATCGTTTAACCGATTCCGACCGCAAAGATTACTCTCGGCCCTAGCGATTTTACCATATTACGCAACAACGGCAATCCCGACAACGATATTCACATTTACGATTCTTTACGTTCCAATGATTTGTAAATTCGAATATCAATTA